TGTATCATAGGGAAATGTTATTAGTATAAAATAAAATAGGCCTAAGTAAATTTGCCCGATTTGATGATTTGATGGAATACCTCCATAAACAAGCAAACTATAACTTTAGGTATTCACTATAAGAATAACATAAGAATTTTAAATTTGCAGTGTTATGAAATTTTCTGTAACTTTTAATCATACAACGATGCTTTAACATACGATTTTTGGGGAGGGTTTTAAGCACGACATAATGGCTGTAAAGAGAATTGGGCATTTCCAGGTTTTGGGGGTAAAAATATATTTTTTTCCTCAAAACCCCATATACTCAGTATTTATAACCTGATCTTGCTGGTTCAACTCATTCAAATTTATCCTCTACACTAATGCAACATTTAATCAAAATCGTACCAAAATTACTCGAGTTGTCGTGTTTACGGACACACACATTCATAAATCGGTCCCGGGTGTAGGCCTTGCTGTTACGCCTGCCTACGGTAATTACTTCTTTCAAGGAAATTTGCTAACGCTCCAAGACATAATAATCAGAAACGCTCCAAGACATAAATAGTCAGAGATAATCATCAAAAGATAAAAAGAAGACACTGATGCTTTCAAGCGTTTACCAGCCATTATCATCTTGGTTATTTTCAGCTAATTCACAGGACGAATCTACAAGATATTATGTTTTTTACCGATTCTCAAAGACAGTTTCTGATAAAAACAGTTTTTATGTTTAGCATTGGCTCTGAAAGAACGAAGGGTGAAACAGGTGAACAAAATTACTCAGATACTACTGAATAACGAAACTCAAAACACAGATTGTGAATGAATATATATGAATACAAAATACAATATCTTTTAATGATTTAGTCAGGGTTACACCCGACAGGTCTTATCAGTGGCGGCGATTGGGCTTGAGAGGTGGAGGGGCGAAATCTAGATTTATTGTTGATATAATTCTATTTTATAATTCTGATATGTATTCCTTATGAAAGTGGGGGGGCGCCTGCCCCCCCCTGGCCCCCCCTAATCGCCGCCTCTGGGTCTTATCTACATAGATTTTCTTTGTACCGACTATGCAATGTTAAAAACGTGACGAATAATCTTTGAAATATTGATAAATCAACTTATTACTTACAACTTATTGATAAATAGTTAGTTAATTAAATTTGGATTACAATTTTTGAAGCTTACATAGACATGTATACTCTACCAAGGCTTAGTTATTGTGTTAAGTGTGCCAAACGATTACCAGGTAGTTTGAGTGACACATTCCATAGCACAGATGTTCCTGTTATAACTGTATATGGTTAGGTTGTGACAAATTTTTGACGTGTACATCTAGGCCGAATCTATAATTATCATATCATACTAATATTATAAATGAGAAAGTTTGGATGTATGGATGTATGGATGGATGGATGTATGTTTGTGACAAGTGAACGCGAAAAATACTGGTTGGATTGGGCTGAAATTTGGCATGATGATAGGTCAAATTCCCGATTAACATATAGGCATATTCTTATTTCAAAAATCCTTTCGGGCTCCGCCCCAGTGGCTCTGGAGTTTCCCATGTTAACCTTATGAGAAATGGAATTATTGAATCTTAACAGCTGTTTCAATTAAACAAGTTGGTTCTGTTCTATGATGTTCAATAGCATTAAAGTTACAAGGATTACCAACAGGGTGCAGCACTATTATTTCTTTTACATTTATGACAACAGCTAATTTGCAACCAAAAGGTGAGTGAGCGTAGCGAACGAACTTCAACCTGGAAGCGAGTTAGCGTAGCGAACGAGCTAACCTGAAGGCAAGTGAGCGCAGCGAACGAGCTCCAACCTAAAGGTGAGTGAGCGTAGCGAACGAGCTCCAACCTAAAGGTGAGTGAGCGTAGCAAACAAACTTCAACCAGGACGTGATTGAGCCATGCGAACGAGATAATCTTGAAAATTAAGAATTTAAACGGGGCAAAGCCCGCGGGTTACAGCTAGTTTAGAATATGGTTGGTAGTATCAACAGATCGATTTTGCATCTGATTCTATAAAACTCATAGTATTTTGCATAATATTATTAATCTCATTATAGAAACTGAGCGGCTGTATTAATTTATATATTGTGTGATATAGTGAATAGTGACGTACCAATCCTACCTCTCTTTGGATACTAACAGAAAATACATATATAATTTCTGTTTTTGAACACAAATCATGTTATGATTCGTGGTCGTGTTGAGCACATCATAAGCACACATCATAGCAATCATAACATGATTTGTGCTAAAAAACAGAGATTTTATATGTATTTTTTGTTGGTATCCAAAGTGAGGTAGGATTGGTACATCACTATCTCAGTTGATGGTTATAAAATTGACTGTTTCATTTTTGCTTTTTAGTAGACCTAAAACTATTGTGGATTCCGAAACAAGTAGTTGCATAGGTCATAGGTGATTAAACTGCCCCCTTCATGTACCTACAAATTATCGGACGACCTTTTATGGGGGTATTTTCAATACAAAAACCTTTGGACTCGGCTGAGGGACTTAATTCTGTCCTACTTGATTGGCGGATCTAAATCTAAATATATAAAAGGCAAAGCCCTCACTGACTCACTCACTCATCACAATTCTCCCACTTCCCATTTACCTAGGAGGCTGAAATTCGGTACACCGATTCTTTGGGCATTAAATAGGAAAACTAAGTAGTTTTTATTCTGATCGGGCTTTCGGGCTCCGCCCCAGTGGCTCTGGAGTTTCCCATGTTAGCCTTATGATTGTTCATATTTAAAAGGAATTAATGAATCTTAACGGCTGTTTCAATTAAACAAGTTGGTTCTGTTCTGTGATGTTCAATAGCATTAAAGTTACAAGGATTACCAACAGGGTGCAGCACTATTATTTTTAGCGAATTTCCCTATAGGGAAGTAGCTATTACCGTAGGTGGCACGGTAAGACCTAGACCCGGGACCGATTTACTTTTTCATTTTGATGTCCTCAGAGGCCAAAAACACTATTCGTTCAAATTTTTATATATGTATATATATATATATATATATATATATATATATATAGACTTATATATATATACGTCCGTGAACGCGATAACTTGAGTAATTTTTGTCCGATTTTGATGAAATTTGGTTTAAAGGTGTAAAGCGGGATAAACTTGAATGAGTTCGCGAACCAGCACGATCGGACCATGGGAACGGGGCTTTATGGGGGGTTTTATGGGGTAAAAATTGGTTTTTCTCACTTTTTACCCTTAAAACACAAAATTTCCCAATTTCTCTTTAGACCTTTTTAAAGAGCTTAAAAAACAAATAATTTAGTATATAAAAGTATTTTTGTTCGATTATTAGTAACGGAGAAAATTTAAAAAATTGTAAATTTAAAATTCCTATGTTATTCTTATGGAGAATATTGTCAAATGTTGTAGTTTGCTTGTTTATGAATATATTTTGATCAAACTTGGCAAATTTATTTATTTTGTACTAAGCTATCAATATTTTACTCAAAAACACACTTTATTAGTTTCCTTGTAGCAGCAAACCTAGGTACTCGTTAAACCTAATGTTATTAAAATATATTTAACTGAAAATCAATTCAGACAAATGGAAATTCGCTTAGTCGGCAGGTTTGCTGCGGCGGGGGTATTTTTAAATTTATGACAACAGCTAATTTACAACCAAAAGGTGAGTGAGCGTAGCAAACGAACTTCAAACTGGAGGCGAGTTAGCGTAGCGAACGAGCTAACCTGAAGGCAAGAGAGCGCAGCGAACGAGCTCCAACCTAAAGGTGAGTGAGCATAGCGAACGAACTTCAACCAGGACGTGATTGAGCCATGCGAATACTTATGAAGTTAAACGGGGCAAAGCCCGCGGGTACAGCTAGTATCAAAATATATTTAAAACAGTAAAATTAATTTGAAACCCCAAAATGGCAATTGTCGTGGTATCATAGATGGTGGTATGAACCTAGAACCTCGAGAACACAAGTCTTTCGCACTAAATTCTAGACTAGACATAATTGTAATACTTTTAAATTTTTTCTTCGTATTTCCTTTATTATTACTGTACTTACAACTCCCGCAAGGTGTTCAAGGAAATTTAAGCCAAAAATTCAATAAATTACATTATTTATCGGCAATGACTATACAAAACCACAAAAGGTGTGGAAATAAAGATACTTTATTTCTGCGCCTTCATTTTACGCACGAATTCTATAGTGATACCGAACTGTACTGCAAACAGCATAGCAGTCTTATTGAAGGCGTTAAAATGTATTTTGGGCGCTGATGTTTTCTAAATGTTACTTTTTATTTTAGGATGGTATTTACTTTTTTCGCTTGCTGAATACCAAGAAAACGTAATTTTTATCAGTTCATTGTCTTATTTGCCTGGAATAGTTTAACAATTACTGCTATATAAAAAATAAATAAGAAATAAAAACTCTCCCCTTTTTTAAACGGGCCCAACTGACAATCTCATTGGAATATTTTTGAATATTTGTAGCTGATCATCAAGGCTGATAAATCCATTAGGGCATATTTTCAATCTACAGTTCGTTTCGAACAAAAAATGCTACATTGGCTCCACGATGGTATTAGTATTACCAACTTAGATGGCAACTCAGATTGGAGTATAAATAATAAAGAAGTTTAGAACATAGTGAGATGTATAGATTTCTTACTGACTAAGACCAGCCTTTTTAGTCAGGATCTTGTGAAAAGTCCAATAATAAAAAACAACTAGGCGTAGTTTCAAACTAAAAAACGAAGAATTCTCAGTATCTGAGCGAACTTTGATAACCAGCCGAACTTGACCACTCAGTTTATCTATTTCAATATCCAAAACTCAATTCTATGCAGTCTAAAACATGAAAACTACCAAATCCAATTCTTGACAATTTACTTGGACAAAGACAAACACAAAGAGCAGGAAACCAACGACGACCGACCAGCGTAGGTGTAGGTAATCAAGACAATAGAACCAGCAACCAGTCGTGCCAGTTGCTCTGTCTGTATCAGTGCGGCAGCGACAGCGCTGCGAACAACAGCTGATCGCTGTGTGGATGTGTGCTGTGTGTGTGTAGTGTTGTGTGTGTGTTAGTGTCATCGTACTGTTCGTCAGTTTACGTTTCCAGATCACATGGCCAACAGACACCGCCAACATGACGCGAGATGTAAGTTCAGATTTTATTTTTTGCTCGATTGATACAAGTTAGATTTTTACAACACCGTTACCTCAGGGGATGTTTTTATGTTTTTTTAATGACGTGTAAGCTTTGTTCTTAAGATCAGCTGCTTCAGGGAAATTAAAAACCCCGGTGATAAAGGACAGCTGGGTACAGTTTTGAACCATCAAAAAGCTTTTAACTTTTCTCCGAAGGCATCTGGTATCACTGCGTTATCTACAGCCTTATCTCCACACCTTAGACAAACCCTTGTAAATATTGCGGCGTGGAAATAGGTTTTGAAGCGATAAATTCATATTGTTCTTTGTGTATAATGTTTTAGTGGAGAAAACTTGGCAAGTTAAGTTAAAAGTCACAGCTAAGTGTTGTAGATGTTTTGATAAGGACAAGTATAGGGATCTTTGTTGCATAATGTTGGGATAATAAGTTTTAAGGGTTAGCATTTTGTACAAAAGAACAAAAGATGTTACTTGTTTTTCTTAAGAGATTCACTCAACCCCTAATAAGAAGGAACCCTGTTTTGTTTTATTTTGACTAATTTAGATAATGGCAAATTATGAAATGAAAGGGCAACGGCTTAAACCGTTTATAACACACATAGATACGATCCGAAGTGTAATGTAAAATTTGGATCCAGCTTTTAAAAGGCAATTACATTACTTTAGAAAACAATTGTTTCCTGAACAAATCAAGCAGTATAAGAACCACTTTGGTTTAGTATGAATTGTGCAACAAAATCCAATGAATAGACCCATGACTCAAAGTTGATAAGCTGACTGTAGTATTGATTCTAAAATTACTGGTACCTATGCTTAAATATTTTTCTAGCATACTGTATAGGGATGAAGATATGGTTTTCTACCTTATTATCTAGAGGTTTAAAACAACATATCGCTTCTAAAAAAAACATACCAAAGGAAGTCAGAGCAGTTGTAAACAAAGTTGAACCTTCAAGCGAATCTTATCCAACTTTTACCGTTAGACCTATTGTTAAAATAGAAATGCACTTTTGGCTGTCTAATTTAAGCTAAGAAAGTAGACCTAAGATAGTTGATAGTCCATCTGTGGTGAAAGTTTAAAATATCACAGACTGGAGTCATTTATCTAAAGTAAGGTATAAATACCACAATAATCTCTATCCAAATATAATCCAAGCTATTAAGTATAGGAGTCCCAGTAATCTTTGATATTGCGAAACTCTTATCTGAGAAATGTCTTTGACTTTGTCAACTTGTGACCTTCAACTCCAATGATAAACAAAGAACAGCTGATGAGCCTCTCATTTGCATCACAGCTGATCGTGAATATTTGACTTGCAGATGATGAGTAATTTATACTCTGATTTATAGTAGTTTCAACATAAATTCGTAGGGCTCCATTTATTACAATGAAACATTAAATTTAGTAAGCATTTAACTTAGTGTTTTAAGATATTAAAATAAAAATACCTTTGCATTTATTTGCATGACAGACTTTACACATGATGGGTGTGTTTTTGTTTGAGAATGAATATGAATACAAAGGGACTTGACATGAGTATTGGATGGAAATTTTGTTTAAATTGTTCCATCTATAATATCCAGATTGTAAAGCAATTCTATAAACCTTAACTATGCTAAAAAAGACTTTCTATAATAACAAAGTTCCCTTTTCGAATATTTTAGGTTTCTTAATTTTGTTCATATGCTATCAGTCAGGTCTATTTTATATTTTAATATTGTTATTGTCTGTAAACTAATTTGTATGACTAGCTTCTAAGTATAAAGTGATTAGATTTACTTGAGGAAACACATGAGACCTTCATTTATGATAGAAACAAAACTCAATTTTACCACTAAGTTTTATAACATTTTCTCTTAGTAATAATCACATTTATATCCAGAATAAATGTTGTTGTTGCTAACACAAGATATTTGAGTCATTTCCTCCAGACTTTGGTTTTGTGTAGTTTCTATTTGAAATCACATTGTTTACATAATGATACAAGGTGTTGACTCTATGTGAATGTCTAGAAGGCGGTGAATCATTAACCATCTGTTAGTTTGGTGTTCATGTAAACAATTTTGCAACTATGGGTCTGGTTGATGTATTTCGATAACTCTTATTAAAAACTAGCCATAAAAATAGAATTAAATTCTTCTTAGGTCATAATTAGTTACCAGTACTGATCTTATGAATTAAAAATACAATTTTCGTGATTATGTCTGTTTAGAACAGACTTTATTTGGTGAATAGAACTACACTCTACTTCTACTAATTTACAATAAATATTTTAATATTCATACCATAGTGATCTACCAACCTCAAAAATTAAACAGGTCACAGGTATCAAAAAAGTAGCCTAGTTACAATACATTATTTTCATAATCTTGTTACAATCTGACTGGTTAAAATTTTGAATATTTTAATATTCAAATTGAGGAACAGTTGTTACAATTGATTCAAACCTTTACACAAATAGTTGGTCTTGTTGGTCAGCATTACTGATTTTTTTTGAAAATGTACTCTATAAATAAACTAGGAGTACGCTCCGAAGTCACGTATGAGAATGAACGAAGACCATATCATACATACAAGCAATTTGCCAACAATAACCATATTCATATCAGCTGATTAAGCAGGATGGTTTATGGCAAAGCCAACCTTGGTCCAAGGTCATAAGGCAGGTTTGATCAAATCCACAAAAAGGAACAGACAAATATTCCCAGTTTCTGCGATTTATAATCGAAGAATATATTTCAATGTGTTACAAAAACAGCAATTGCTCTAATATGCTGAGTAATAGTAATATCGGTTTCACAATCTATCACCATAGGAGCTGTACCATTTTCAAATACCTCTGCTGTAGCAAACCTGCAAACTAAGCGAATTTCCATTTACCTAGCTGGATTTTTACTAAAATATTCCCTTATAAATGTAAGATTTATTTCATAGTACCAGGGGACCGAGCTTTGTTCGGGGAAAATCATTAGAGTTTACTCTGAAAGCAGTCTTAGTATTGCAAATACATTAATCCATCTCAAACTCCACAATACTCGCTCTTACTACTTCCTTCCCATAGCATTTTAGGATTTCAGATACATTATTGTAAATGCCACTCTGCACTGCTAGCCTTACTACTTCCTTTACCATTTCCTACGTCATGGGCCAGTTTCCTTCCATTCTCATAGCATTTAAGTATTACATATAAATTAATCTAACTAACACAATGGTTCCCACACTCTGCGATGCTACACTTTACTACTTTCTACACCACTTCCTACTTCGTGGACCTGTTTTCATCTTATTTCATAACATTTTAGTATTTTAAATACATTAATCTAATTGCCACAAACATCTCCCACACTCCGCACTGCTAGCATTTACTACTTTCATTCACCATTTCCTAGGTCATGGACATGTTTCCATCCCTTCTCATAGCTTTCAGTAATGCAAAAACATAAATCTAACTGTTACAGACGGTTTCCAGTTCCCACACTGCTCGCCATTACTACTTCCTTCACCACTTCATACATCACGGACCTTTTTCCTCCCTTCCCATAGCATTTTAAGATTGCAGATACCTTATGCTAACCGTCATAAATAGTTCCCACACTCCAGACTGCTCGCCTTTACTACTTCCTACGTAGCGGACCTGTTGTACTCCCTTTACATATAATTTTAGGATTTCAGATACCTTAATCTAATCGTAATAAACAGATCCCACACTCCGGACTGCTCGCCTTTTCTACTTTCTACGTAGCGGACCTGTTTTACTCCCTTCCCATAGCATTTTAGGATTGCAGATACCTTAATCTAATCGTCATAAACAGTTCCCACACTCAGGACTGCTCGCCCTTACTACTTCCTTCACCACCTTCTACGTCACAGACCTGTTCCCCTCCCTTCCCATAGCATTTTAGGATTGCAAATACCTTAATCTAATGGGCATAAACAGATGGAACACTCCGGACAGCTCGCCTTTTCTACTTCCATCACCACTTCCTACGTCGCGGACCTGTTCCCTTCCCTTTCTATAGCATTTTTAGACTGCAGATACTTTAATCTAATCGTCATAAACAGTTCCCACACTCCGGATAGCTCGCCATGACTACTTCCTTCACCACTTTCTACGTCGCGGACCTGTCTCCCTCCCTTCGCATAGCATTTTAGGATTACAGATACCTTAATCTTATCATCAAAAACAGTCCCCACACTCCGGACTGCTCGCCTTTACTACTTCCTTCATCACTTCCTACGTCGCGGACCTGTTTCCTTCCCTTCCCAAAGCATTTCAGGATTCCGGATACTTTAATCTAATTGTCATAAACAGTTCCCACACTCCGGATAGCTCGCCTTGACTACTTCCTGCACCACTTCCTACGTCGCAGACCTGTTTCCTTCCCTTTCTATAGCATTTTAAGACTGCAGATACTTTAATCTAATCGTCATAAACAGTTCCCACACTCCGGATAGCTCGCCTTGACTACTTCCTTCACCACTTCCTTTATCGCGGACCTGTTTTTCTCCCTTTACATATAATTTTAGGATTTCAGATACCTTAATCTAATCGTCATAAACAGATCCCACACTCCGGACTGCTCGCCTTTTCTACTTTCTACGTAGCGGACCTGTTTTACTCCCTTCCCATAGCATTTTAGGATTGCAGATACCTTAATCTAATCATCATAAACAGTTCCCACACTCCGGACTGCTCGCCATTACTACTTCCTTCACCACTTCCTATGTCACAGACCTGTTCCCCTCCCTTCCCATAGCATTTTAGGATTGCATATACCTTAATTGTCATATCAGATCCCACACTCCGCACTGCTAGCCTTTACTACAATGTATCGAGTAATCTTCCTAATCTTCAGTATAATCTTTGCTCAATAGTAACAAGTGATGTTTTTCATTTGTACTGTATTTCGTAATTTGCTAGTATACCGTACTGTAGGTAGATGCCTTTATGAACACATGTTACAACTTACAAGACTTTTATTTAATTT